TGTTGTCCCCGCTGCTGTGGCGGGTGTTGTTATTGCTGGTGTTGCGCACTGTTGTTGCTGGTGTTGCGCGCTGTTGAAGGTGTTGCACGCTATGGTAGCTGCGCTGGTTGTTATTGTTGTTGCGCGCTGCTGTTGTTGGTGTTGCGCGCTGTTCTTGCTGGTGTTACACGCTGTTGTTGGTGGTGTTGCGCACTGTTGTTGTGTGTTGAGCGCTGTTGGATTTTCAAACAAAGATGTGGCGCTGCAAAAAAAATAAATATATATATATACATAAATATAAGCTCAAAACTAAGTATTTGTGACAAGAACCATCCACCTAAGATAAAACTACTACAGTTTCATTTTATAAAATTTTTGTTTGTAGGAAAATGCATAAGTAAAACAGTTTGCGTACGGTGGTTCGTTTATTTGTAAAATGATTTTGGGTTATCGTGTCCAACCACGCGATCCGGACCAAGGAAACTTCAACATCTACGCCTAGTCAGAGGTTTGCACTTTAATCAAAAAAAAGATTGCGGTTTGAAATATGCATTCCTTCTGTAAATTTGGAGGTGGATTTTGGCGTAAAAATACTGCTGATGGCCTAACACAAATTTAATTATTTTCTTTGCGAAAATAATCCTTACACAAATGACCGAACATTTCCCCCCGCACAACCGGAATTCCGTCAAAATTTTTTTTTTTCTTTTTGTTAGAATAAAATCTTAGGCCATTCCGAGTATTTTTGCACCGTCGAATTTTACCAAAAGGCGCCCACTTCAAACCGAATTTATTAATAAATTTAACAACACATAACTTAAAAAAAACCTACAAGGCTCCGGCAGCTAGGACTATATATTTGCAATCAGTAGAACTGCCCCTCCTGTTCCCTGGCTACCTTAATGCGGAACTCTGGGGATACCCAACTAAATTGCAGCCTAGTAACCTATTGCTCGGAAATTGAAATTTTTGATTTAAATTTAAGTTAGTTCTTTTGCTACACGCGTATGCTAAAGCCTCCCTAGATCCGGGCAGCGCGTCTGCACCCAGCACCACAAAAATCATTACTATGCACTACTATCCAAACTGTACCCCAGTCGCATGTTGCTTAATTTGCCAATTGCAAGGTAAGCGTGGTTTCTTGCTCCAAGCTAATTCATTCACATAACAGAAAGCTGGAGCAGAATGGAGTAACTTAGAGCAAGAAAAGTCTTATGAAACCTGGAGAAACGCTCATTATCACCACTTATGCTGAGGAACACTTACCTTGTTTGTGGCTGATGCTGACGGTTGTCCCACGGTGCTAGGGGCTTGTGGTTAGTGGTGGGGCTTGCCGGCACGCGGTATCGGTGCTGCTCCTCCGACTGGCACCTTATTAAGGTGTTTGGTGTGGCTCTAGCGTGCTTG